CTCGATCACAGACAATGTGATGGTCTGATCTACATTCCTGAAATACATGGCAAGCAGACGAACAAAAGCTGCCTGTCTATGATAAAACACATGACCAATCTTAGGAACCAAATTGAAGAGGCTCGGGAAGGAGCAGAAAAATGTCTGAAATCTCTCGACGTTCGCAAAGGCGATCACAACAAGAAAATCGCTAAAATTCAAAAAGATATCCAGGACCTATTTACCACTTTAGAAAATGAAGCAGCGAAAAATATGGACAGTTTGTATGAGGATGAGAAAGGTTATATAACAGAAAGAGTTGAGGCCTGTAATGAAGCAATCATGGGTTTACAGACAGCTAGTAACAACCTAGACATGGCAAAACAAAACGGCATCGAAAGCAAAATATTCCTCCAAATGAAGAAACTTTCAAAGCAAATCTCCTTTTATGAGCAATTTCTGGCAGACGTTAAACAAAAAAATAGTTCCCCTATCCAATTTTCTTTTAAACCAGACAAGAAAATTAAAGAATTCACAAAAAACACAGAAGCATTAGGTTCTATTGAGATTGAAAAGAAACCATCAAGAAAAGCAACATTGATGACTCAGTTTTACGTCAAATCCCAAAGTGACAAGTATCAAGTGTGCGACATAACTGGAGCATGTATACTTGCTGACGGAAGAATCGTACTTGTGGATATGTATAACGAGAACTTGAAAGTAGCCGATTCAAATTTCCATCTTGTTACACAGACAAAACTATCAACTGAACCATGGGATCTGTGTGCAATATCAGATGATCAAGTAATCGTATCTTTACCACGAGAAAAGAAACTTCAATACTTCACGATCAGTTCCACCATTCATCCAGCCAAAAAGATCGGTTCAAATGAATTAACCGTGAAACCAAGCCAGTTTTACGGAGTAGCTCACCATCAGGATAAACTCTATGTGACATGTCCCAAAGACGACCCTCCAAACATTAAAATACTTAACATGCAAGGAGCGCAACTTCAAGAAATAGCTGCGACCAATCAAGACCAAGAACAAAGCCTGTTTAACGACCCACTCTATATTTCAGTGAGGCATGATGGGAAGATGGTTTACGTGTCTGACAGCGGCAATCAAACGATCGTAACAGTCGATTTGAAAAAAGGTGGCACTAATAGACAGTGCCCAATGCCACTAGCTAATCCACCAGGGGGGTTAACTTCACTGATTGATGGGGATGTATTTATCTGCGGATTTAAATCCAACAAAATACATGTTATGGAGAAGCATGGACAAATACAGGATGAGATTGTCGGAAGTGATGGTGATCTGGTCAGTCCACAGTCAATAGCTTTCTCAACTAGATCAAAATTTATGATAGTGACAATGCAAAAATCTGACATGGTTAAAGTCTTTAGAGTTTGGTAGTTTTAAGACTTATTTATCTATGTTGAAAACTTGGGATTTAATGACAAAAGATGGCATGAAACCAATGCAAAAATGATAACTTATTCAGTTGAAAAATTGAATTTATTATTGAAAGAGTTCTACTGAGGTCCAAAAGCCTAACAACGTAAAATTTAATCTTACATTTATCAACCAGGGCATATAAAATTGGGAATAAATACAAAAACAAAATATACTTAGAATTACATTAATTTTGTACATTGAAAATCAATTTTTGATGTGATCATTTGGCAGATTTGAGTTAAAAGTGTTTCATTGTTTAGGTCATTTTGCACCATGAAAATTATTATTCTAGAAAAAAGGAGGAAGCAAATTATCTAAAATTTTGCAAACAATTTATATAGACCCACATTATTACCAGTCCTGAGTCTTAAACATTCCTAGTTACTTTTTTGTAGAAATTATAATATTAAATGTACATGTATATAATATTTAAAAACATAATAAATTAAAAAAGATTTACAAGTGATTACTTTTTCTGGTTGTATTCACAGACGCTAGTCACATAATCAAATATTTTACATAATCAGCCTATATATGTATATTAAGATATATCTTATTATAGTATATAAGCCCATATAAAACTTAAAAAAGTTTGTTCCAAGCACCTGTGGTTGTATCTTAAGAAACACGGTATATAATTAAGTTAGTATTGAGCATCTCTGTTGTAAAGGAGCTCAGCTGAGGTCCAAAAGCATAAAAAATATTTTAAAAATTTGAATTTTTTACATTAATCAGCTTAGAACCTTAAATTAATCAGAAACATAATACATAAGATAGTAAAGAAACATACTTAAAAACTGTATTTTTGTGCTATTCTTAGCCAAATTTGAGTGAAAAGTGTTTCAATTTGAGGTCTTTTTTCACAGTCAGACTAATTATTTTGAAAAAACTAGAACTCCGCGAGTTGGATGAACAGTATAGCTGTCACGTATATAGGTTATTTATAAATACCGCTAAAAGGCAATAACTCCAAAAATAAGAAGTGCAGAGTACCGGTTCTTGTGCACTGCACTTCTTCTTAATGAGATCTATCATCCTATGAAGTTTCAAGTCAATAGCTTTTATAGTTTAGGAGAAATGGCGAGGACAATAATAAGGTATGAAAATTAACAAAGGGCAATAACTAAAAAATAAGAAGTGCAGAGTACCTGTTCTTGTGCACTTCACTTCAAGTTATTGAAAGAAGCATGCATACCAAGTTTTGAGTCAGTCTGACTTATAGTGACTGAGTTATGCTCCGGACAAACCTTAGTGGACGCAGACAACAAAAGTAACCCATATATTTTTAAGGCAACACAAAAATGGTGAGCAAAATTGTTTAATGAACTGAAATTTTGCACACAGGTTATTGGTCTAGACCTACACCAAATGGATCCATTAAATCTCTCAAAAGTATTTCCAGTCAAAACCTCAGTACAGCTAATTATTACTGTATAAAAATTTTCTTATGATGCTGATATTTTTGTATAATGTAATAAATGAAATCACTGGAATGATTGGCTTACTTTGCAATTTGAAATTACATGTAAGAAATTTTATAAGATGTTTTTTCAAAGTCACTTGTGTTTGCAGTCTGTTCTACTACAACAGCATCACAAACATTGTATTTTACTAGACCGGTAATTGACTTAGAAAGATAAACCCAAACATTTGGACATACATGTATATGCACAGACCGTTTCCAAAATTACTTGTTTACATCTTCATGTTAACTTAATCAGTCCTTGTAGAAGTCGAATAGGACATACCTACGCAGCTACGCTTTACAAATAATAAGGATTTGGTATTTATAAATATTGAATTTACCTTTCAATTTTATACATTTCTCATTTTTCAATTGAACTATAGCATTTTGCTTCATAAGTAAAAAGGTAATTGTCCTCACCAAATTGCATTAATCCAACAAGACAATATGTAAAATATGTTTCTGTTGTTTAAAGTATCGCAGATCTAAATGTGTAATACACACGAATTGACCTTTGACAGGTGCATAAGCTTTTCAAAAGAATCTGCCACCCTTTGATGTATTTACTCTATCACCATCAAAGAGCCGTTGACATTCACACTTTTTGATTGAAGTTCTGTCTTCATTATTTTGTTAAGAAAGTTTGTACATGTTGAATAATAGGTTCCAGTGTTACACCAAAAACAAAAGGAAGCATATTTTGTTGGAATATTTTCGGTCTCATTTATGTTTAAATCGTAAATTCACGGGTGGATTTGTACATGTGATAATGAAAGAATAGAACCTGGAAACATTAAATATGTATTGATTATGTGTGTTTTGAGACTAAAACTGTTGAAAAGGATTTAATTGCTTTATAAAAAGCTTTGTTTGAATTAACAGTTGTCATAAAATTATGTTGGATTTGCTCTGTCATTACGGCAAAAGCTGTGTGCGATGTGTTTTGTAGGACTATGTGCGATGTGCCGTTGATTACTCAAGTATTTGATTTGTTTTCTTGTTGTTTCTTTGAAATTTAAAACTTAAAAACGTTAACTAAAAACAGTATAAGTAATTATATTTTCCTGCTGAGTACATAAATATCATTATCTTGAACATTAGGGGCAAAATACTTTTATAAAAATATGACAGTTATCAACTTTGCCGTGAAAGCCGTACTCGCCGCATGACAATAGTAGTTCATAGTTTGTTTTACGTGTTTGTAGGCTGTTTTTATTTAAAAATCTTCTTATTTTTTGAGATATAAACTATTCTTTTTTCTTTTTTACAAAATTACAATAGTATCAAATCCAGTACACGGTATATACCGGTAATTTACGAAGTTACTATTCGGTTTAGGACCGATACCGGGAACCGGTGTCCCACCCTACTCAACTTCCACAGTAATGATCAATTAAATTAAGGTTACTAAGAATTAAGGCTCCCACGTTTACAATTTTTTGTAAACGTTTACAAGATTGTTAACAACCGAAACGATACCGTTTAAACGGTGGTACTTCTATGTACTGTATTACACCATGTATTCGAGTCGCCAGATGATGACTTACTTTCTATTTTTAATACATGTACAAATAAATAAAGTTCAGAGCTCATCACGTTTGTGTCGGTACACATTTTCTGCATTTCGCTCTTTTGAAAGATTAAAGGAAAATTAACTTTACAAAAAAATATATTATGTCACGAGCGATTAGTGCACGGTAATGCTGTGGGGAAGGTTGTAAACACCCATTTTCCGTTTTTTTTTTACTTTGGAATAAACCAATTAGAATTGATAAAATCCATGATTACAGGCAATGATTAAAGTATTTTGTAAAACAATATACCTCATTTCGATTAAACGGTAAAAAATATCGTAAACGTTTACGAATAAAAATCGAAACGAATCCGTTTAAACGTGTAACCGTGGGGGCCTTACTAAGAATGCTTAAACATAAAACTAGACCTAACTTGTGTCTAATGGTTCTAATAAGATGTGTCCTCTAATATGAAATCTCTAGATCAAGCACTTTAAAGATGGTCTTGCAGATGCATCACTAATTAACTTATCTTACTTGATAAATGATATGACAGCAACAACTATCAAGAATATACTTACTTGCAGAATGCATCATTCACACGTGTAACAAGAACAGCTTGCACTTCTTTACATTTCATACATAGTCTGCCTAAACTGAAAATAAAATTTCATTATTAAGATGTAAAGCAAACCAAATTCAGATTCAAGTCAAATATGGGGAAAAAGTAGCAATAAATGAATAATAATCTTCACATTAAAATTTAGCAAAAAACATTCAATCGATTTTTTTCTATTTCAAGGGGAACAGAGGGACTTAATGATTATGATATAATAAAAAAGAAGTTCCATGTAATGTAAAAAAAAATGAATAAAGATTCATAGTATCTGTCAAGTACTAAAGTTTGGATCAAAATATCAGTCCAAATGATGTCAGCCAATTGGGAGGTAATATGCCTTGAAAAGGGTCTGAAGGTTTCGCATTTAATGTGAATCATATTCTTACATATAATTTAAAAAAATCACATTAACTTTCAAATCTGGCCAAAATGAGTTTTGAAATACAATTTCTGGATGGAAAGATTGACTATGCTATTTCACTATCACTCTTTCGATTTCATTGTTGGGGGATAATAGTAAAATGAGGTTTATTCAAAAATAACTTGTAAACAGGTAAATGTAATATTTTTTGCAGAAATAATTATTATGAGGATACTGGCATGCAAGCAGTTCCAATACAAAAATTGTAGTTACTTAAAAATCATTCTTTATTACGCTCACTCACAAAACAAGAGGGCCATGATGGCCCTGAGGTCCCTTACCTGTATATAGCCCCCCGCCCTCCCCCCACGCCCCCGGGCCAATTTTTACCCAAGGGCTTTTATTTGAACAGACTTGGTAGACACCCATAAGAAGATGTTTCATGCTAAACATCTAAGTTCTAGCTCATTGGGTTTTTTAAAAGAAGATTTTTTAAGTTTTTACTATACACATATAGTTAAAAACAATGACACCCCTGGGGCAGGGCCAGTTTTGACCCCCGGGCTTTTATTTGAACAAACTTTGTAGATATTTACTTAAAGATGTTTCATGTATAATATCTAAACTCAAGCTATTTGGATTTTTTCAAAGAAGATTTTTAAGTTTTTGCTATACACATATAAGGAAAATCAATGACCCCCGGGGCGGGGCCAGTTTTGACCCCAGGGCTTTTATTTGAACATACTTGGTAGACACCCATTAGAACATGTTTCATGCTAAATATCTTAGCCCTAGCTCTTTGAGTTCTTTAAAAGAAGATTTTTTAAGTTTTTACTATATGCATATAGGGAAAATCAATGACCCCCTGGGGCGGGGCCAATTTTGACCCCAGGGCTTTTATTTGAACAAACTTGGTAGACACTCATTAGAAGATGTTTCATGCTAAATATCTTAGCTCTAGCTCTTTGGGTTCTTTAAAAGAAGATTTTTAAAGTTTTTACTATATGCATATAGGGAAAATCTATGACCCCCTGGGACAGGGCCAATTTTGACCCCAGGGCTTTTATTTGAACAAACTTGGTAGACATTCACTAGAAGATGTTTCATGCCAAATATCTAAGCTCTAGCTCTTACGGTTCTTTAAAAGAAGATTTTTTAAGTTTTTACTATATGCATAAAGGGATTAAATCAATGACCCCCTGGGGCGGGCCAATTTTGACCCCAGGGCTTTTATTTGAACAAACTTGGTAGACACTCACTAGAAGATATTTCATGTAAAATATCTTAGCTCTAGCTCTTTGGGTTCTTTAAAAGAAGATTTTTTTAAGTTTTTACTATATGCATATAGGGAAAATCTATGACCCCCTGGGGCAGGGCCAATTTTGACCTCAGGGCTTTTATTTGAACAAACTTGGTAGACACTCATTAGAAGATGTTTCATGCTAAATATCTTAGCTCTAGCTCTTTGGGTTGTTTAAAAGAAGATTTTTTAAGTTTTTACTATATGCATATAGGGAAAATCAATGACCCCCTGGGGCGGGGCCAATTTTGACCCCAGGGCTTTTATTTGAACAAACTTGGTAGACATTCACTAGAAGATGTTTAATGCCAAATATCTAAGCTCTAGCTTTTACAGTTCTTTAATAGAAGATTTTTTAAGTTTTTACTATATGCATATAGGGAAAATCAATGACCCCCCGGGCTGGGGCCAATTTTGACCCCAGGGCTTTTATTTGAACAAACTTGGTAGACACTCACTAGAAGATGTTTCATGCCAAATATCTTAGCTCTAGCTCTTTGCGTTCTTTAAAAGAAGATTTTTTAAGTTTTTACTATATGCATATAGGGAAAATCAATGACCCCCTGGGGCGGGGCCAATTTTGACCCTAGGGCTTTTATTTGAACAAACTTGGTAGACACTCATTAGAAGATGTTTCATGCCAAATATCTAAGCTCTAGCTCTTAAGGTTCTTTAAAAGAAGATATTTAAAGATTTTTCTTTTGGTTGCCATGGCAACCAGAGTTCTGCATGAAATGGAATTCTTTGAACAATCTTGATAGAGCTTCATACAAAGAGTATTCCTGCCAAGTTTCATTAACATTGGCCTTGCGGTATCATAGAAGATGTCCTTAGAATATTTAAAATGTGGACGGACGACTGACGACGGACGCCATTTGGTTGGCCATCCTAAAAGCTCACCTGCACTTTGTGCAAGGTGAGCTAAAAATTGAATGTTACACATCTATGTTCAGCTTGTCACACAAATTATGGAAATTCCATAATGTTCTTAACATAAAATAACCCATAGTTATGAGGCTTCATATGGGGTACCGATATTAACTATTATTTTGTATGAAGAGAAGTAGTTCCTGTATATAAAATATAACCCATTATAATTATACAATGTTATTATATCAGACCTATTTTTCATTTATAATTGTTGAAGAGACCATTTTCCCAGAGGTAGGAAAATGTAATTCAGTTAATATAGAGTAGACTAAACGCTGGTATAACCCTAACGCAATCACATGTAATGGCTTGCTTGTGTGCATGATAATTAACTTATTAAAGCCATAAAATTATTTAATATAGTAATATAGGTCAAAATTTTGATAAGTAAACATGTTTTCATCGAATTGCCTACTTACCGTATCTGTATAAAGCCATTAAAGGGGGTATTAGTTGAAAACTCTTTACCAGGCCTCACATGTAAGTATTTTTGCTCATGCACTCAAGGACAGAATCCCCAAAGATAACAAGGTCATGTTTTGACAACAGACAGGTGAAAGTGACTTAAAATGAAAACTTTTTATGTACTGCCAAACTGACACTTAGATTTTGTCTTGTTTATGTATCTACTTCATTTAATATCAATTTTTGATGAATGCAAGTAAAAATCAAGCATTTAAACAAAAATACGGGTACTGCTTCTATATTGGATCTGCTCGCATGCCAGTATATAAACAGGGATTTTTTCCAGGATTTTTGGAACACGACCCATACCCATGGAATTGGGAATTTCAGCTGTGTTTTGTTAAAAATTGGGAAAAAAATGCATGACTGACATTTTGCAGTGATTAAATGGATGCAAACAATTACTGTATAGATATGATGGCATCTTCAAAGATTTAAGCACTATTACAGTAAAGAAGCCCTTATTTGAAAAGATTTTAGAATTTCTATTCAATATTTTTATTTTGTAACTTTCAATTGGGAATTTTTTCCTGTGGATTGGGAAAATAATATACTATTTTCAATTGGGAATATGACTCAATAACAGCTATGAAATAAGCCAAAAAATCCCTAAGAAATGTTCACTAGAGATGTAAAAGCAGCCAGGCAGCTCAGTCAGTCTATGTAGAGCTGGTCAATGGCATTCACACGTTCTCATGTTGAGTCGTGGTCAGAACTTCGTGCTTTTTTTCTCATACAATTACAGTAGGTGCTCAACTGGAATGACAGACTATTCTCTCCCTAACCAGTTCCTTCCCCTGACGGTTCTCTCCCAAACCGTTTCCTCCCCTGATGGTTCTCTCCCAAATTTGAAATATGCAGACAGTTCTCTCCCATTTTTATTTTTATAAGTTATCATTTTAGTTTTGACTTAATCTAATAACATTTCTTAATGAAGATTATTAAAAGAATTTGTTTGATATTAAGTGCATTTTATGTTTATCTGAATAGTGTTTGTAAATTTAACACCTTTTTTAGGAATTTTAATCCTATCAACACCTTCATTGTGAGAGATTAAGATAACTGGACAATGATTGATATGCACAGGTCTGTAATTATGTTAAGGTCTAGTGACACTTATTTATTTGTTAAAGTATGTTCTAGAAAATAAATAAGCAACAACTTGTATGCAATCATATGCATTAATCCCATTTCACATTTACTTTTATACAAAATTGAATAAAGAAAATGTAGACATTCACACTAAACATTATATTAGAGCAAATAATAAGAATACTTATTTGTCAACACTTTTTCACTGTTATTTTAATCTAATCAACACCTTGATTCTTGAGTAATGAATAAATAAACACCTCAATTATCTATGACAGCAAACTTAATGCATATGTGTATTGAACACCTTTCTTCATTATACAAAAGTATGAAATTTAGATATTAAAATGCATTAATCATTTTTTCTTATAAATTTTATTCTTATTTATTAAAAAAGAATACATAAAATAAATACAACACAATAGATTTAATATCTAATGATTATCATAATCAAGTAATTGATTTGTAAATTATTTTCAATGACTAAACACATAAACAAGAGGGCCATGATGGCCCTGGATCACTCACCTGACACAACCGCATCCAAGCAATGTCTTAAAGAAGCATCATGGCCAAGTTTGATGACAACTGAGTCAAACATGTGACCTCTAGTGTGTTATAAAGATTTTTCCATATTTGGGCAATGTGACCTAATTTTTGACCAAACACAACCCATATTCAAACTTGACCTAGAAATCATCAAAACAACCTTCCTGGCCGATTTCCAGGAAATTTGGATCAAAACTGCAGCCACTACAGTGTTAAAAAGATTTTTCTATTTTTAGCTCCTGTGACCTAGTTTTTGACCGGACATGACCCATCTTCAAACATGACCTAGATATCATCAAAACAATCTTCCTGACAAATTTCCAGAATATTTGGATGAAAACTGCAGCCTCTAGAGTGTTATCAAGCTTTTTCTATTTTTAGCTCCTGTTACCTAGTTTTTGACTGGAGATGACCCATCTTCAAACTTGACCTAGAAATCATCAAAACAACCTTCCTGACAAATTTCCAGAATATCTGGATGAAAACTGCAGCCACTAGAGTGTTAATAAGCTTTTTCTATTTTTAGCTCCTGTGACCAAGTTTTTGACCGGAGATGACCCATCTTTGAACTTGACCTAGATATCATCGAAACAACCTTCCTGACAAATTTCCAGAATATTTGGATGAAAACTGCAGACCCTAGAGTGTTAAGAAGCTTTTTTAATTTTTAGCTCCTGTGACCTAGTTTTTGACCGCAGATGACCCATCTTCAAACTTGACCTAGAAATCATCAAAACAACCTTCCTGACAAATTACCGAGATAACCCATCTTCGAACTCGATCTGTATTTCATTGAGACAAAGTTTGATGATAATCCAATCAAAATTGTGACTGCTAGACTGTTAACAACCCAATTGTTAGAGTGTTAACAAGCTTTTTCTATTTTTAGCTCCTGTGACCTAGTTTTTGATCTGAGATGACCCGTCTTAAAACTTGACCTAGATATCATTAAAACAACCTTCCTGACAAATTTCCATAATATTTGGATGAAAACTGCAGCCTCTAGTGTTAACAAGCTTTTTCTATTTTTAGCTCTTGTGACCTAGTTTTTGACCCGAGATAACCCATCTTTGAACTCGATCTGTATTTCATTGAGACAAACATTCTGACAAGGTTTGATGATGATCCAATCAAAACTGTGACTGCTAGACTGTTAACAACCCAATTGTTAGAGTGTTAACAAGCTTTTTCTATTTTTAAGCTCCTGTGACCTAGTTTTTGATCGGAGATGACCCATCTTCAAACTTGACCTAGATATTATTGTAACAACTTTCCTGACAAATTTCCAGAATATTTGGATGAAAACTGCAGCCTCTAGAGTGTTAACAAGCTTTTTCTATTTTAAGCTCCTGTGACCTAGTTTTTGACCCGAGATAACCCATCTTCAAACTTGACTGTATTTTATTGAAACAAACATTCTGACAAAGTTTGATGATGATCCAATCAAAACTGTGACTGCTAGACTGTTAACAACCCAATTGTTGAAGACGCACGACGCACGACGACGAACGCCGGACATAGCCCCATCACTATACCTCACCTTGACCACTTCGTGGTCAGGTGAGCTAAAAAGTATACATTAGATCTAATTGAATAGTTTATGCTAAAATATTTTCTTTTCTAATTTATATCAATTAATAATAAACTTACCCATTTATCTAAATACTTTGATAAAATATTTTTTCTCTAATTTATAACAATAATAATTTATCCATTTATTAAACATCTCAATACTTCAATAAAATATTATTTGTTTCTAATTTATGTCAATTAATAATAAACATTTGCCTAACATCTAAATACTTCAATACAACATTTTTTTAAAAATATGCAGACAGTTCTCCACCAAAATAGGGAGAGAACTGTCAGGGAGGAAACGTCAGGGCAGGAACTTGAAAGGGAGAGAATAGTCTGACTACCGCTCAACTGTATTACAATTTTCCTCTTTTAGTGAACAGCTCTATACACTAAAAATGTGGTAGTATTTCAAAATATAAAATCAAAATATACAATAAAAGTCAATCAAATTATCACCAATAACTTAAACTAGCCCTATTATAATATCCGAAATAAAGTTATCCGATAACTACTACATTATAAAACATGCTCAATACGATTTCGAGACGTTTCGGCCCCAAGACATATCGGCCCCAAACTACCCAAGACGTTTCGGCCCCGGACGTTTCGGCCCTTTACCAAATCGGCCCCAGAATAAGTACTGTATTTTAAACCGATATATTAATAGCATTTCAATAAATAAATGAACCAATTAATATATATATATTTATTCATTTTGTATAAAAACTAGATTATAATAGTAGTAGGGTTCCAAAAGTAATCAATACAAACAGAACAGAACATTAACTTTATTTGAAAAAATATAATACACAAACAAACAATTATTTACAACATATATAGATAATATTTTATTTGAAAGATTAAGAAGCAAGACACAAAACAATACACGAGACAGACATTAAATTATTATCAACAACTATTTAACAGTGACGAGTTTGATGGAAACGAAAACAATAACAAATGAACTATCGGTGCAATATATCCATTTTTGGGAAATCCTTTCTAAATTAATATATTCAAAACTGACCTACCTGTATCGCATACCTATCGGACATTTCATAATATTTACACTTAAAATCCGATTGTAAGTATTAAATCACAGTTAATATCCAGCAAATAATTTCTCTAATTTAATTTTATATATAATGCAATTATTCTAACAATTAAACGCACAAACACTTTATTTTCGAATGTTATAACTTATCTATAGCAGGTACATAGCATTTTAATATAATTTGGTTTCAGTTTTTCAATCAGTTTTATTACATCTAGCATCTATCATTATCTAATAACAATAATAATTAAAAATATTATCATGAGATGATAGCAAACCGTTTTTTAACATATCAAGCAATATACTAAAGTGGGGCCGAAACGTCTCGCGGAAAAGGGCCGAAACGTCCAGGGGCCGATTTTTCGACAGGGGCCGATTTGGTTTGGGGCCGAAACGTCCTGTTTGCCTCAATACAGTAAAATTAAGATAAGATCTACATTTAGACTAATATGAGTATTACCATGCGTCTTTTTCTGGTCGTTTCATGGGGACATCACCATCTTGTACACTACACATCTTTCAAATTTTGTAAATTTCAAAAGCACATGAACATCGATGAAATATTGGGTAATGTCTAATTATTTACGAAACAGGAAAATCTGCACGTATGTTGTGATGCACGTGAATGAGGTTCTCATTGAATAAATTGCAGGCTTAGATGATTTTTATGGGCGCTTCATATTGAAAACAGAAAAGCTTTGATCATATTTATCATAAAGAGTGTGTATGTTACATACATTGTATAAATTTATCCATTAAGAGATCCCGGCCCGGCCAGGATCAAACAGATCACGGGAATTGAACACTACTATATAATGTAGGCCTATCCCGGAACAGGGTCTTTCAGAACAACAAATATTAAGTTGTTTTTAGCCAAGGTAAATGATTCTTTAAATTCATTGTAGCTATAAATGCATAGATCTATCAACATTTGATCATTTTAAGGTTGGTACAATTTCAACAAGTCTTGGTTTTGCTTACAAAATAAATAAAATCTATACGACCCACTCAGCTCATTCCATTAAGGAATATTTTAACCTAGATTCAAACCGAGCAGGGTAAACACCACCGAAAAATGTATTGCAGATATGTCAGGGCTACTAAAAACCGTAGAAAATTTCACAACAGTCTATTCGACGGTGTTCAATAGTTTTTTCAAGATTTAAAAAAACTTACACTAATATGTTATAAAATATGTACAGTACAATATGCATTGGCGTGGCTACTATTCATGCGTACAAAAAGGGCAGCTGAAGGTGACACTTCTTAGTACGCTCATTTGGATGCAAAATGATTACTGCATCCAACCATTTCAGCCATTTTACCTGTCCCATTTATAATATTGCCAAATAAGGAAACTTGTCTAGATCTGCCAACTGGTAGGCTTATCACTTGTCAAAGGTTTATTCTACAGACATCACTTGAAAAAAAACTTAATAACAAATTAAAATTCAAAACTTGTCTAGATCTGCCAACTGGTATCACTTACCAAAGGTCTAACTACAGTTTTCACTTGAAAAAAAAAATTAAAAATGAAAACTTGTCTAGATTTATCAAATATCTTTTCTACATTCATCACTTGAGAAAAAAAAACACTTAATAACAAATTGAAATTTTATAAGTAAGGAGCTCTATGTAAAGTCTGGTGAATATTGAGTGGTACATCAGAACAGGGTCTTTCAAATAGAAAGACCCTGATCAGAAATAGTTATTTCAAATACACCAATAAGACAGAGGTAAATGATAAAACTCTGTAGCCAATACTTTATAAAAAAAATAACTTGCTTAACAAATCTTTTATCACTATTTTAAACAAGTGACTATTTTGATATAGTTAAAGAAAAAGGACAATTTACATTGTTACACTTAAAACAAACAGTTTCTTTTTTTCTGATAACATCTGGCAATTAATCAAGTATGGCATTAATCAGCACTTGAAAAAAAAAAAAACACTTAATAACAAATTAAAATTTTATTAGTAAGGACCTCTATGTAAAGTCTGTTGAATATTTAGTGGTACGTCAGTCATCTTATAGGTGTATTTTTTTATAAATAGTTATTTGAAATACACCAATAACATCTGGCAATTATTCAAGTATGACATTTTTGCAATACAATGTGTGACTACGTGCAGAGACATAGATAACAATCTATGTCTCTGCTTCATGCAACTTATTCTTTAAAAGCGCAGCAGAATTTAAAATGTGTTCCAATTTACTGTGTGACTAAAAAAATGTTGTTTCAGGATACATGTGCAGTATATATATGCATATCGCTTTCAGAAAACTAGGAATTGTATTTAAACATTCAGAGATCCCGGGAATATATTGACAACCTGTCATGGATCTATTTCAAAAAAGTGTTTTGGTTATCAATATGTAACGTATCATGTCTCCTATGATTTTTTCTGATTAAAAAATAATAATAAAGTACATGAACACACGGACCAAGGGTCTTTCAAATAGAAATTTGAAAGACCCTGACGGACCTTTATTGTCCTTCCCGGTGAAACAGGTGATCAAGAATCAAAATGGCAAGATGGCGGCGAGGACCTGGCGGAAATTATTAGGTAGCGGGGTTTTATGTGTTGATACTTGACTTTTAGATATATTATATATTGTGCTGTCAGCAAATGATTCACTTTACTGAATGAAGTGCGTCATATTGGCAGATTTCTTGCACATACTGCAGTATTCTAATATTAGCGTCCGTCCTGACCACAGGTGTTCGGCGCGTCGATTGGTCCCCCCCCCTCTCCTTACCCACTTTACAACCATCCTACTTCTCCAAAACCATGTAACCTGTAAATCTAGTATTTTTCATTTGAAATATATTTTAATATTTGATAGACACTGATAAATATATGCTTTTAATTCAATTCAGGAAATTGAACAAAAACATGTGGGTCCAAAGTGAAAGTAGAACTAGCTACTGTACTAGGCCAAATTCAAATAAAAACAAAGCTCACAATGTAGTTCCTAAAATATTCATAGTGTCATACAGCCTAGATTATTAGTATTTACAACTTGCAAATGTTTTGACAACATAAACTGACAAGACAAATGGCAGTTTACCTTTATTCAAAGAAATATTCAATAACTGAAACAGTCTCTGAATCTGATTCCTGGACAGTACAGTACTGGCATGCTAGCAGTTCCCGTACAGAAGTAGTACCAGTATTTTTCATTTAAATGCTTGATTTTTACTTGCATTCTTCAAAAATTCATTTCAAATCAAGCAGATACATAAACGAGACAAAATCTAAGTGTCAGTTCGGCAGTACGTATAAAAAGTCTCATTTTAAATCACTTTCACCTGTGCGTCGTCAAAACGTGACCTTGTTTTCTCTGGGGGATTCCGTCCTTGCGCGCATGCGCAAAAATATTTACAGGTGAGGCTTGTTAAAGGGTTTTCCACTAATACCACCTGTTTACAAACTAAGTAGGCAATGTGATGAAAACTTGTTTAATTATCAGAATTTTGACCAATATTACTATATAAAACAATATTATGGCTTTGATGAGTAAAATATCATGCATACAAGCATGCTATTGCATGTGAATGCGTTGGGGTAACGGTACCGGGTAATACTAATAGATACCCGTGTTTAGTCTACGCTCTATTTCCTGAATTACACCTATTTATCTCTTAGATAATGGTCTGTTCTACAATTGTAAATGAAAAATAGAATGTAGGTCCAATATAATAAAATTGTATAATTAAAATGGGTTAGATTTTATGAATGGGAACTACTTTTCTTCATACAAAATAATGGATAAAGTTCGGTACCCCATATGAGGCCTCATAAGTAAGGGTTATTCTATGTTTAGAACATAATGGAATTTCCATGATTTGTGTGACGAGCCAAATATTGATGTGTAACATTCAAATTTTGGTGAGTGAGGGTAATAAAAAATAATGTTTAAGTAACTATGATTTTTGTACGGGAACTGCTCACATGCCAGTAGACTGCAGTCATTGAATTTAAGTTTTTGAATTTACTGGCCCGAATTCAAGTTTTGAATTTATTCTACTATATATTTAACCAAATTTTCTTAAAATTTACACTGGCCCAAACTAATTTTCACTGGCCAAGGGCCACCGGGCCAGTGCTCAATTCGATGACTGATACTTGATTACCATACCTCATATCTACACTAGCAGTAATTTTCAATGACTGCCTGAAGGGGGATTAAATTTATGCTGGCCAGTTGGTAATTCAAATTTTTTTTGACACCTTGGCTCAGCAAGCCACAGGGGATAAACAATCTTTTAATAGCCTTCGATCTGAAGGTAACACTGTTCTAAAAATAGATTTTACCTAATCACCACTACATCACCTGTACTGGCTTTCGGACAAGGGATTAGGGAGTACACATTATACATGATGTTAATCAGCGTATATTTACTTTGTTTACATGCAATATTTTAAGAAATTGTAGAATGCAAACAAGTTGGAAATGGAATTTAGTGTGAAAAGAATAGGGACAACTACACACTGTACTTTTTTAAAGTTAAATTTAAACATATGTTACAATCTGCTCTGGCGATATTTGTCAATAAAACGGTTTTTGTCATAAACAATTTTTCATTCAGGCAGAAAAAAAGTTTGACTCTTTTGATTGATGAGGCGAAGTTTAAAAAATGCACCAGTAATTGGCGATGATTTTAACAACAAATATTTTGTGTGAGACATAAAATAAAAAACAAATGTATTTTATTGTCTATACGTAAACAGTGTATGTTAAATCACGGACCTCAATTGTCAATTCAGTTTAAATATACATGCAAGCATGCATGTACGTATTCATTATTTCTGATAAAATAAATACTAGAATCGGCATTTTTTATTAGGTAAAATAGGAAAAATGCAGAGTTTTGCTTATTCTAAAATAATTAAAGAATTAAGATATTAATCATTAATCTAATACTCGTAGCACTTGGTGGATAGATTCATGACTTCTCCAATCTGCATATTTTACATAGAAACAAAATTTTGTACGGTATATCTGGGACAGAAAGATACTTTTTCATTTTTAGTCCGCATACCATATCATATCACCATTTCTAATTTTGATAAAACAGTGAAACAAAAACAAATTGCCAAGCCCCGGCATTTTTCTCAAATATTGACATGCAGGGAAAGTATTGCTCCGAAACTTATTTCTTTTTCACCATATCATCTTTATTTTCCTGATGGTTTTAAACCATCTCAATCATGCTAAAACGCAAGTTTAACTCCAGGAACATCTTTTCCATTGAGAGAAATGTGAATAAAGGTTTTCGTAACCATTACATGTTGTATAATCTACATGTAGATTAACCAGTTTCCTTGTCCGAAAGTTATCGATATGTGGCTATTATTATAAACAGGTCTCTTATCAGTGACGTATACGATGCTTATCTCAGATCATTCCCTATTGATAAAAATTATGTTATAATTGTTAGTTGGAATGGTGCAGATAGATATATATACCAAATTACCAATTAATGGATTAGTGTTGCCATTCCTGTATATTGCTGCACTGTCTTGGAATAATCTCTCCATTAATCAGTGTTCTGAAAAAAAAAATCATTTAATTGACATTAGGATTGTGTAAAAATGTTTTATTTCCCGCAGCAAAGGAGATTATTTTATATTTTTGTTTTTACCATTAATCATCAGCTCAGTGACAGTCAACTGATTTCCAGGACAGTCCATTCTGAAAGTATGCAGCATTGACAATTTATTTTTCTCTTATGTAATTAGTGACATCTACAAACACTTTGATAAGAATGTTTGTAAGGGTATTATCAAAGTTTAATGTGACATTTTATAATGGAAGTAAATTTACTGTGTATATTTATTTTGTTTTCTTTCTTTTCCAGTAAACTTGAAGAGCTTTAATGACGTCAAGAAGATCCTTCTCAAGATGAATATGGTTGTACTTGTGTTGGTGGGCCTCTTCATTAGACTATGCCTTATCATTTATGGAGAATGGCAGGATAGAACCATGACAGTGAAGTTTACTGACATAGATTACTTTGTATTCAATGATGCTGCTTCTTACATTACTCAGGTATTACCATAAATTCTCTGATAAATGCACCAAGGGCACTATATTTTCAACAAGCAGGCATTTTGATTAAATATGTAAGCTGCTATTATCTTGGTAACTCAAGTTTTCTTTTTCTTTGTCAAAAGGGGAAGGAGGATATTTATTATTGAAGTGGCGTTTTTAAGAGAAGATACATTATCTTTTAATTAATGTGACTGTCTCCATTTGAAAGTTTACTCAAGCCACTTTGAAAATTCATGTAAAAAAAATAAAAAATTGAAGGAAGATATTGACACATTTGAAAAGAAAAGGAAATAAAATCCCTTGATCACACAAAAAGTATTGTCACCTTCAACTATAAACATCCCTTTATATTAAACTCCAAGCAGATTATATAAGATATGCATTTTAATTTGTGGATTAAATCTAAGGTATAGTTTTAGTTTGACACTTAAATGTAAAATATGATAACAAGAGTTGAAATAAATATATTTCAAGTACTTACACAAAAAGAATATCTAAAATAAGATAGGAAAACATTCAGTATTAATACAAAATACATTAATAATATTTGAGCAATAATTGTTATTATTAAACATTGCTTTTAAGCAATGCTATACCAGATAAATTTATATTATAACAATGATATAATAATATGATTTTAAAATAATTACAGGGCAAGTCACCTTACCTGCGGGCTACCTATAGATACACTCCACTTCTCGCCTGGATGTTACAGCCAAACATCTGGTATTCATCTGTGTTTGGGAAGCTGTTGTTTATCATACTGGACGTTTACACCGGACATCTCATATATAGCATCGTAATCTCATCCAAAAATATCACGCCAAAGACCGCAAAATTATGTGCTGCATTTTGGTTATTTAATCCACTTTCAATGACAGTGTCCAGTCGGGGAAATGCAGAGTCGATTATGACGTGTCTAGTGCTTTTATGTCTAAAATTACTGCTTGAGCGTAAAGTTTTATCATCAGCCATTGTTTATTCTTTGGCAGTTCATTTTAAAATTTATCCAGTAACTTATGCTATACCTATCTACCTGTTTCTGAATGACAGCATGGTGGAAAAAGGGAAACATTCTCTATGGAAAACTTCCTATAGTATGATCAAGCCAACTCAACAAAGGGTAGGGTTTGTGATGGCAGCTGGGATCACCTTAGCCATGTTGACAGGTGTCTTTTATTACATGTAAGTTATAACAATAAGCACTTAAAATAAATGAACGCAGGCATGAGAAAACGATCCCTAATATCATGTAAAAAATGACATGACAAGATGATAACATTATCATTGACATTAAAAATAAAAAAAAGTGAATTACCCTAGAAATGTGAAAGATAAATAGTAAGAAAATTTCAATGTTTTATTTTTATTTCAAGAGCTATAGAATTGGATTTCTTTTAAGAATCCAATATGGCAATTAAAAAAGAAATGAGTGATGTTAAGGTTTGTTTTCTCATATTGTCGGTCAAATGATATTGACAATAATCAGTTTGCATTAAACCATACAGGTGGATTCTTGGAGTATAATATTTGAAAGGATTGTTGTGTTTTTATTTTTTGAAAATTTCTTACAAAAAAAAGAAAAAGCAAAAAAATTGAATACAATTTGATAATATTTCTTCCTTGTTTGATAAAAGAAACATGAATCCTTTTTACATGACTTACATGGTGAAATGAACATTTATTGCCAAACATGCCCATAGCTAAAAATATCTTCCTTATGAATAATAGTTCACCATTAGCTTGTTTTTAAAAATAAGATGAGAATTTTGAGTGTGTTCATAGTATTTTGAAAGTGGTGCTTTATACTATTTCCTCATCACAGGTTATAAGTCAAAGGCTACAAGTTTCATCCCAGGAAGAGATGGATACCATCTTGTCCTTTCACTATTTGGCACAACAGCTCTAAGAAAAAGAGATAGAAATTTTGCTGATCTATAAACTAACTATATATGTGTTTGCTATATAATATAACAGCAAAACTTTGAGAAACAGTCAGATGGACAGATATAAAGGAAATATTAAATCACATGTTTTAGCTCCACTATTCAAAGGATAGAGAGAGCTGTTGTACTCACGGAATGTCGGCATCAAACTTTGGTTATGTTTTTGCATGCAAAAACTGCTGTAGGGAATAGTTGAAATTTCATTGAGCATATAATAGGAGGTCACCATTCAAGGCCCATAACTCTAAAATGGATTTTGATAGAATTATGGCCCTTATTGAACTTAAAATGTTCTACATTATCCAGGGTCTTGTTTTACTATCAAGCACAGAGAATAGTCAAGCACACTGCCCAACTGACAGCTCTTATTTTATTATTTCACCATTTTTTGAAAATTTGAAAAAAATGCTGTGCTGTGACAGAAATTGTTATTTTTCAGGTATGGCTGGGAGTTTTTACACCATACCTACCTGTACCATGTGACCAGGAAGGATATACGACACAACTTTTCTGTGTATTTTTACATGTTATATCAACAATCCGGGGCAGATAAATCTGTTGTCATAAGTCTAGTCTCATTCATACCTCAAGTAAGTTGATGCAAAATATAATTTTAAGCGAATTTTTAATTGTGACCTTGATAGTCAATCAGAACTTCGAAAAGCAAAAAGTTATCTAAGTTAAGGTTCATTTGTTTAATGCTTTCCAGTGTTTTATTGTAATATATCAGATGATTATATTCTGATAAACCACTAGTGAAATTTATAAAATATAATTTTCACTGTAGCCGGACTATATCTGAATGCGGATGAAAAGAAAAGCATAACTAAATGGAATAACAGGCAGAAATAAATGCCGTCATACGTAAATTTTGCTTCTTTAAGAAAGGAAGTTGATGTCACCATACATCATGCTAAATATGTAACAAAGTAAGAGAAATTTAACAGGACTATATTTTAAAATTAATGATGTTACGTCATGATGTGATGACGTCACAATGGAGAATACGCCACGTTACGCGGCAAAATCAGTAAAAATTACTTAAAATCACTTAAAAAGCATGAAATAAAAAGAAAATTTATTTGTTTTACATATAAGATTGAAATATATTTCATTCGTGTACTCGCCACTCGTAAAAATATTGCATCTGGTGTTCACTCAGTGAAATTATATTTCAATCTTACATACAAAACAAACAAATACCCTCTATTTATTGAGATATGAACAGTGAAACATGCCTATACATGTACATTTAATTATTAATGTAGATATTTTTACATCATGTTGTTGAAGTTATTCAACAAATGTTAATGGTTATTGATAATGTCACAGGAATTAAAATATAGAGTCTGCTATCAATGTTGAATTTTTATATATTAATTGATTGCTTTATTTCATATGGGTTCTAATCTAAGTCCTTTACTTCTTTCATGTCAAAAAACTGTGCTAGAGAAGGCAAGTTGTTCTACTTAAGTGCCAGCCACTGCCTGAAATAATGTGTGAATGGGCACCTAAGGTCTCCCTCTAGCATTAAAACTGAAAAGTTTAAGTTGTGACTTAAAAGCTAACCAAACAAACTTTATATTACAGGTACTTTTATTGTTGGTGTTTTCTGTCAAATTCTACGCAACTCCTGAGCTTGTTTTCTTCCTAAATACCTTTGCGTTTGTTACTTTTAATAAAGTCTGTACATCACAGGTAAGATTTTGTACTAATTACGAGGTTAACCATTAACATTCTGAATTTCTTAAATAGGCTTGTCCAGTTTCCCTTCTAGGAGCTTTTCATTATTAAGGTGAAAATTGTCTGTTGACAGTCTAGTGCAAGATCAGACTGTATGGATGTTCAGGCTAGCCTGGTGCCATTCTTGTGCCAAATGCTAATCAGTTTGTTAATTAAGAGTTATATTGTCCTATCAATCAGTTTCTACTTTTAAAAAACAAATTTTTAGCTTTTAAATTGACAAATTATCTTACTGTTTCTGTTGCACATAAGGTATATTTTGTGGATATAGATATTATTTCCTACATCTTTATAAATAGGAATTAATGTACAATTGTCAGATGATGCCTTTCCTTTAAAATATTGTTCTGATTAAAAGCTCTGTCTGGTTATGATTGAATGCATTATGTTTAATTCCAAGTAATCTTAAACAGTGTATGTTTTATTGATTATTGAGATTTGTTCTCCTTAACATAAGCTAGAATCCATTTCTGTTGACATACATGACTTGTTTTTATTTTAATTGAATGAAGTTTTATGTTTTAATGACCTTGAAAGTGACTCACTCTTGATTTTATATGTGTAAATGTCCTTTACCTAAGTATAATAAAACACTTACTATAGCTTTAAGAGTTTTATGTTGTGACTTTGTTTCACTGTTTCATGTTGTATATATATTTCAGTATTTTTTGTGGTATCTCTGCTTACTGCCCTTGTTGTTCCCATACCTGACAAAGATATCATTGAGGAAAGCTGCTGTTCTTGTTATTCTCTGGTTTACTGGACAGGTAAATGTCTTATGTTCTTTTATATAATGTACCTGGACAAGTTAAATATACTTTTGTAAGGTCAGTTCTACTTGTACCAATGTCTTCATACCATGCATATTGACAAATACATGGCAATGATTCTGGCAAGTTACATAACTGAGGCATCCATCAGTTATCTTCCATTTATGATCTTTGAAAATTGGTATGGTTAACCTTTTTTGACATTTATTATCTAAAATTCTACTAGTATCCATGACTTTATAAGTTACACACTTGCTCAAGCAATTCAAAGGCAATGGTCCTTGCAAATGGAATAAGCATGGCATCATTTTTCCCTAACTGATATCTCCTTTAGTTACAAGGGCTGTTGCAAAATCCTGTGACAACTCTGTTTAAAAGCTAAATAGAATTTGTTTGTTTTGCATGTAAGAACCAAATACATTCAGAATATAGGTCATATGGCAATTTTCCACTTTTATTGGCGGAGGAAGACCTCGGGGTGCCTTTCTGTGCATTATTTCAGGCACAAACAGGCACCTGAGTTTGAACACTGGACATTTCAATAAGCTAAGCTGGGATAGGATTCCTCATATGAAGGAAATCCAAAGTCCCTGGTTGTCTCGGAAAAACACAGCAGAGAGGGGCAAATGGTTTAAAGTCAACGACCTTGATCATTTTTGTGTTTATTTAACCCAAGTTCTTGTTATTAAATGTTTAAATTGCTTCTAGATCACATATTTTAAGGCTGTTTTTAAAGGTGCAAGAGCCTTAATTCCCAATGAAACAAATATATTTAAAGTTTAAAATATATTGTTACAAAGCATTTTTTAAATATGAAATTGTTTACCAATTTTAATCATTTTGCGGGGAATTCTGTTTTGGATTTAAAAAGCAGGCTATAATTTAAAAAAAATCCTGCAATGAAGGGTGTTTTTCATATTTCAGGGTATTTGGCTGCTACCAGCTTACTATCTGGAATTCCAGGGCTACAACACATTTCTCTACATCTGGTTGGCCGGGCTCGTGTTCTTTGTAATCAACTGCTATATCATATATGAGATTATGGACAACTATTCCAGCAAGCCTTATGTGTTCAGGAAATCGGCCCTCTCAGTTGGAAATGGACATACAGTTGATAAGAAATCTAAAGGGAAGAAAACATCTGACGAGGTTTACAAGAGTACGTCCAACGAGAACTTCGCAAGGAATACAAGATCTCAAACGAAACGAAGGGTTAAGAATTAAAGCTGATGTGGTATGTCTTCAAAATAATTGATGGAGAAATACGCATGTCCAGGATAAAGTTGAATTGTTTCACAGTGTTCTTATCAGTATTATATTATATTTTTAAAGAGTATAAAGCTATATATCAGTTGCCTGTTGTTTACAACTTTGGTGTGCAAAAATTTTGAAAAAGAATAGTTCCAAAATACTTGAATGAAAGAAATATATTTGTATCTTTCTTATTTGTAAAGCTAATGGCGGATTTAAAACATTATTTCAATGCTAAACAGTTAAAACCCTGCTTAAAATGTCAGCATAATAGTTGTTTCTTGAACATTTTATTCAGTTTACTTACAAAAATTCATGTGTCTTTAATAACATTTTATGCTGCAACTACTCTTGTGATAATTGTAACAACATAATTTTTTGGTTCATAAATTTTCATAATATTATATAATATGTAGCTTTTTACCCTTTAAGATGTACATTAATTGTTCAACCTCATGTGTTCAAATAATTTATGGTCATGCCATAAGTCTTTCACTCATTAGAGCAAAAAGTACTCTCAATGAGTTATAAAGATTGCCTAGTGTCTGCTGTTGTGTGTCAGGTAAATTCAGATTGTAACACTGTGCTGATCGTTCCGTATATCTCTGGTTGTTTGTTCCATTGATATCTGAAAAATTGTGAAGAAAAATGAACATGCATTCCAAAACATTACTGGCTAGGTTAAATTCTGTTCATGGACTGTAATATTGTTGTCCATAATATCAGAGTATTACCTTTATCAAATACAGGTGAAGAATAAACCAAGAGGTTATTATCTGCAATTTAGAAATAAGTTACAAGTTAATACCAAAGTTGCCATTTAATTGATTGTCAGTGTCACATAGAGGCTTGAGTATTACCTTTTTCAGCTCACCTTTGCACAAAGTGTTCAGAGGTGAGCTTTTGTGATCACATGTTGTTTGTCTTCCATAGTTTGGTATCTGTTGTCTGTCGTTATTCACAACTTCTTTAATCAACATCTCCTTTACCTATTGGATTATGACTGAATTTCACAGGAATAACTCTCAGATAACCATTTACAAAAGGTATATAAAAGAGTTTCAGTATGATGCAGCATGTGATAAGTAGGTCACTGGAGCTGAGAAGCTTGAAAAACTGAAATCTTTAAAAAAAAAATGTTCTCAGAAACAGTAGTGTCTGGAGTTTAAGTATTTGGCTTGTAGCACTGAATTCGTGGTCCTGTACAAAAGTAATATCAATCATGCCCCCAGGGTCAAATTTGGACCTGCATCATCTGTCACTTTGTTTATTTGAAAATATATAATATGAAGACTATCTTGACTGTTGGATTTTTTTCCTACACATGCAGAAGGATCTTTGCTTTCCTCCAGAGTCATCTGATTTATTTCATCCTGAAATAACAACAAAAAAACCCATAATAATAAGACATAAAATTATTAACTATTTATTGAACATACAGAAGGACATAAAATTATTAACTATTTATTAAACATACAGAAGGACATAAAATTATTAACTATTTATTAAACATACAGAAGTGTTCACTGATTGATTTTTCTAATGCACTGAATGCCACTTTGTCCTTAATTAAATGAAATAATTTTAATGATATCACTGCTTTAAGGAAGTAAATATTGCCTTCTTTCAAGGAGTAAATATCTCCTATCCAACCGTTTTGCACATAATTATAACCATATAAAGTTCGAAAAGATTTGATAGCCTTTCCATCATTAGCTTTAGCATTGATGAGATAGTCAACCAGGTCCTCATATGTAAGCTTTGGCCAGGTTTTTGAGTTATTTCTTTCCCATTTTGCATCATCTGGAGGTAAATCTATAAGAGAAATGGAAAATATGCTTATAGGGAACAATGGCATGTAAACCACTTGTAGGTATGTCTGACAAGATTTAAATCTTGTGTATTTTAAAAAAAAAATAAACATGACAACTTAAACTTTATAACAGATTCCAAATCATGATGATAATACATAACAACGAAAACACTCGCTTAGAAATCATAATTAAAAGTTACGCCATAAACAACCCTGCTTCAAAAAATAACCACGACCACTTCGTGCATGTACATTGATATAAACTGAATTAAAAAAACTCATTAATAAACATCTTTATTTCATAATTACCTAAATAAATCCCTCACCACTTTCCTTTTACTAAACAAATCCATTCATTATACATGTATATCTCTACATGATTAAACAAACTTCGGGAGGCTGAATTGAAGTTTACACAAAAATTTGCTATGTTTTATATGTTTTATCTTTTGATTTAAATATTCTTTTAGTTTTAGGTTGTCTATTAAATGGCCTTTCCAGTTGGTTCCCTCTTAGACCTCTCTGGCAGGCAAATAACCCTATTGGTACCAACACGCTTTTCTTACATGTCCTACTTTATTGCATAAGTGGCAAATTTTATCTTTTGCATATCACTGATAATACGGATGAAAAATTGCTCCTGTTGCTGCACATCCCCTACATTTTTGTAAATTTTGTTGGTATTGTCCATAGCTTGTATAATTTTGTGAATGTCTACCTTGCTTGTATGGATTTCGATGGTGTGTTTGCTGTCTGTGGTTATTTTGTGATCTCTGTGTATGTGACCTTGGACATCTTTGTTGTTTTGACCTTTGATATTTGTGACTGTAACCTTTGTTTTGAAAATTTATAGAGTTAAAGTCCTTGACCAATTTTTCAGATAGAATATACGTTCATCGAATCATGACCTTTTAAAATAATGCTTCTAAAGATTCAGCTGAACTTGTAGAATAAATAGAGTGAGATTTTTCACTCAATTCTGCTTCTTTAACTAAATCTTCTATCGTTTTAGCATTTGATTTAATTATACCCCCGCACAACAAAGTTGTAAGGGGGGTATACTGGAATCAGCTTGTCCGGCCGTCCGTGCGTCGGTTTTTTTCTTGTCCGCCCAATAACTTAAGATTCCTTTGACCCTTAGTCTTCATATTTGGCATGGAGGTTAGTCATGATTAGTAGATGACCCCTATTGATTTTGAGGTCACTAGGTCAAAGGTCAAGGTCACAGGGGCCTTGACTTCAAAAAGCTTGTCCGCCCAATAACGTAAGATTCCTTTGACCTACAGTCTTCATATTTGGCATGGAGGTTAGTCATGATAAGTACATGACCCCTATTGATTTTGAGGTCACTGGGTCAAAGGTCAAGGTCACAGGGGCCTTGACTTCAAAAAGCTTGTCCGCCCAATAACTTAAGATTCCTTTGACCCACAGTCTTCATATTTGGCATGGAGGTAAGTCATGATAAGTAGATGACCCCTATTGATTTTGAGGTCACCAGGTCAAAGGTCAAGGTCACAGGGGCCTCGACTTCAAAAATTTGTCCGCCCAATAACTTAAGATTCCTTTGACCCACAGTCTTCATATTTGGCATGGAGGCAAGTCATGATTAGTAGATGACCCCTATTGACTTTGAGGTCACCAGGTCAAAGGTCAAGGTCACAGGGGCCTTGACTTCAAAAAGCTTGTCCGCCCAATATCTTAAGATTCCTTTGACCCACAGTCTTCATATTTGGCATAGAGGCTAGTCATGATAAGTAGATGACCCCTATTGACTTTGAGGTCACCAGGTCAAAGGTCAAGGTCACAGGGGCCTTGACTTCAAAAAGCTTGTCCGCCCAATAACTTCAGATACCTTTGACCCACAGTCTTCATATTTGGCATGGAGGTTAGTCATGATTAGTAGATGACCCCTATTGACTTTGAGGTCACCAGGTCAAGGTCACAGGGACTTTGACTTCAAAAGCTTGTCCAACCTATTACTTAAGATTCCTTTGACCCACAGTCTTCATATTTGGCATGGATGTTGATCATGATTAGTAGATGACCCGTATTGATTTTTGAGGTCACCAGGTCAAAGGTCAAGGTCACAGGGACTTTGACTTCAAAAAGTTTGTCCACCCATTAACTTAAGATTCCTTTGACCCACAGTCTTCATATTTGGCATGGATGTTGATCGTCACTATAAGGTGACCCCTATTGATTTTGAGGTCACTGGGTCAAAGGTCAAAGTCACAGGGACCTTGACAAAAAAAAAGCTTTTCTTCTCAATTGCTTAAGAATGTCCTGTCCGCAATGTATTGATTTTGACATTTTCACATTTGAAGCATGTAGAATACTTAACTTAGCAATGCACTGGCTTAGTAACCTCAGATTTGGCAGGGAGGTTGTCCTTGAGCTCTAAATGGCCACTGTTGATTCTGACAAAGTGGTATGCGGGGGTATTCACGCCATGATAGTGGCAGTTCTAGTTAAATCAGCCCGTATGTGTGGTAAGAAACCATTATGAATGGCTGCAAATATATATTCATTTTGCACTTGATATGTACAGCCTTTATTTTGAACTAATGTGGCAAATTTTTTCACTGCTTGTGATGGTTCTTGTTTCATTAAAAAGAGGTCAGCAAGAGACTGTGGGCCTATTAATTGATTCCCAAAGCGTTTCAAAAAATTGAGCTTTAAGTTCCACATAATTGGATTCAACAGTATCTGGCAGAGCTAAAAGCCAGTCTTGTCTACAGCCTCATACTTGGCAATCCAAGTGTCTGCATTAACCTTAACAGCAGGATCACACTTGCCTATTAACTCAATATTAATAGTCGGCTCACCTTTACTTCCAGATTCCTGTGACATGATTGTTGCTTCTTTTTCCAGATTTTCTTGTTCACCAGGGTTTTGATTTGAGCACAGGGATGCCGGTCCAATGTTAATCTCTGCTGATTTCCCTTTTGGCAATGGAGATCGAACCTACCCAGATTCTCCACCAGCTTTAAGAGTGACTTGTATGGGAGTTTTGGGGTCTAAATAATGACTCACGGGGTTCTGAAATATATAGGTTTCCTCCTCACTAAAATATTACAGCAATGTTTCTTCTAAATCTGTGATTGAGGAACCCTGACACAGTAACTGTTGGTCTTTTATACAGCTTTCTAAAATCTGTTGTCAGAAGCGTTATGTCACTTTTAAATGTTTATTCCCCAATTATTTGAGTAAGGTACTGGCATGTACATAGAACTGTTTGTACCTTTACATAATATTAAGAGATGAAGAGCTGACAGCTTCGTTTAAATTGA